CTTTCTGTCTGGCTCTCATTCCTTCTGTCTATCCATCCACCCATCCATCTGTCCACACACCCACCTCCACTGAGTCCCTTCTGGGTGCTGGGATGGGCCATAAGACCAATGCAGGTCTTGCGTTTGTGGGGCACAGCCTGGGGGTACAGACTGCAAGCACACCCTGTTGCCGGGCTGTGATATTTATCTAAGGGGCAGGTGTCAGTGAGGTCTGCAGGAAGAAGACCTGGACCCTATCCAATGTGCACCCCAACTTGGGCCACCCCGCACCTCAGACCCCAGAGTCCCACGCTGTGGAAGACCACAGGGCAGGACAGAGCATCATTCGCCTGGAGGCCTGAGGCTGCTCTCTCCTCTGTGCAGTGGGGTGGGTTGCCCTCCGACAAGGGCCTCTCTTTCCCGCTGCCCGCCCCCATCCCACCCCCCGCCCTCATCCCAGCACCATTAGTGAGCACCAGAGGCTGTGCATGGGACACATGGGGGCTTTATTCCACGTGGGGGTGGGGCAGAGGGGTCAGCAGGGGGCAAGGAGGAACGCGCAGCACAGGTTGGTGGCTCTGGGCCAGGAGGTCCCAGCAGTGCCCTGGGGACCTCAGGCTGCTGGGCCTTGGGCAGCTCAGGCTGGGCCTCCTCAGAGTGCCAGCCGCCCTGTGCCAGTCACCGGGAGTGTCCCTCTCCCCCTCCCTCGGTGAGAGGCAGAGTGGGGGGCAAGGGGTGGGAGAGAGAGTCGAAGGGTCCAGGAACAAAAGGCAGCGGTGATGGCGGGGGTCAGAGGGGTGTGGGCAGGCTGGGGCAGTCTTTGGAAGTGGCTTCCTTGTGAGGCCTGGCAGGCTCTGGCCGGAGTCTCCGCTGGGTGCAGAGGGTGGTTGGCTGTGTCCCAAGTCCCCGGAGGCTGAAACAGTGTGGGGCCAGGGGGCAAAGGGCCTTAGGCCGGGGTCAAGTGGGTCTGCTGTCCCCAGGTCTCACTGCCCGGCCTCCAAGCCTCTCCCCAGTGGCTGCATGGCCTTGCCCACTTGTCCCTTCCGTACCTCTGCTCGGGCCGTGGACGCCCTGCTCCTGCCTCCCTGAGACCTGCTCTCCAGCTTGAGCCCAGGAGCCTGGGTCAGGGCCCCTGCTCCAGGGAGGCAACTCTGCCCACCATCTGTTTGCCTGTAGCCTGGCAGCTCCCAGAGCCAGACCTGTGGCTCCCAAGGTCCTAGGGCCTGATAACTAACAGGGGCAGCCAGCCCCAGGGCCAGGCCCCACCCGGCCCCTCTTAGCAGATCCACTTTAGCCCAGCAAAGCCGGCTCCTAGCCTGAGGCCCCCAGGTCTCTCAGCCTCCCTCCTTCCCCAAACCAGACAGCTTCTCGCTCGGCCTAGACGCCATTTGTCAATGTCCTTGCAGACACGTGGCGTCCAGAAAGCAGGATGGGCGGGGGCTCAGCCAGGACCACCCCAGCTGGGAGCTCTGTGGGACTATCCCATTTAGCTCAGCTCAGCAGGAATGGCCCCCACTCTCTGGCCACTCCACCTCTGATGTGCACCTCGGCTTCCCGAGGGGCCCATTGGCCGCCACCCCTCCCCGCTGGCTCCCAGCGGCGCCTGTGGTCGGGCCGGCGGCGGCGTGGCGCCCCTCACGTGTCTGCGGCCAACAGCTCGGCCAAGCACCAGCCCCCCAAACCCTTCCCAGGCCCCACTCGGAGCCCACCCTCGGCCCCCATCCCTGCTCAGCCACCCACACAGCCTGGCTGGTGTCAGGCACAAAGACGGTGCCCACTTCGTTTGGCCCAGGCACTTGGAGGCGGGCGGCAAGACTGACCTCTGTGTGTGTGTTTCTGCTCAGTGGTGGCAGGACACACAGACACAAGAGGACACACTGACAGCTACCGAGTGCACAGAGCAGGGAGTCGCCAAGGTCAATCTCGTCACTTGGCCTCAGGGTCGTCGATGTGCAGAGTGAGCGGGCATCCACACAGGGGACTGGGAAGCCAGGGCCGCCCTGACCACTGTGCCCCCCACAGGGTGCAGGATGTTCATCTCAGCCGCGGCGATGCCCCCGGACGCAGGCTGCCCCAGCACCCAGGGCCCTCCCGGCCCACCCCCACCGGTGCTGCCCAAGCCAGGCAGGGACAACACCCGTCTGCAGAAGCTGCTGAGAAAGGCGGCCCGGAAGATGAGCAGAGGGGTGATGCCTGCCCCTCCCGGGGCCTTCCGCACCTCCCTGTCCCCCGTGAGTGAGGCCAGCCACGACCAGGAAGCAGCCAGCCCCTGCCCCGCCAGCCCGCGCCCCGGCCCTCCGCGCCCCGCCGAGGACCCCCGTGTGGTGGCCGCCCCGCCCCGCTCCCCGCACACGCCGGTCACCCGCTGTGTGACATCGCCCCTGCAGAGGTCTGCCTTCTCCTTCAGCCTGGTCCAACACAGCAGCTTGGCTGCCCACTTCAGGGCCCCGGAGCCTGGCTGGCCCCGTGGCTGCTTTGCCCCTGTCTCAGCCCCGGTGACGGGGCGCACCCACATCAGCCAGGTGCAGATCCAACTTGGCCCGGGCTCACCCTCTGGGACTCCTGAGCCCCACAGGACTGACAGAGATACAGCCCCACACGCCCCCGACGCCCATCCCCTGATCCCAGTGGCCCACATCCGTCCACTGCCCACAGGGGCACAGACCACCAGCCCCCGGCCCGAGGGGGCCCCTGTGCTCAGGCCTCCGTCCGGCTTCCAGGCCTCGGTGCCCAGAGAGGCTGGCACTCGGATTGTGGTGCCCATAGCCCCCACCTATCGCTCCCCGAGACCCCCGGCTCACAGCCTGGACCCTGAGGCCCCAGGGTCTCAGCCCCTGGAGGAGGCCTTGGTGGCTGGTCCCAGGGATGAGGCCAAGCAGTTCTTCAGTCCCCACAAGCCCTCACCCCCCACCCCATCATCGAGCCCCCATCCCTGCCCTTTCCCCAAAGTGGCTCCCAAGCCCAAGTCCAGTGGCTGGACGCGCCTGAAGGAGCAGCTCATGGCAGCAGAGGAGCCCCCAGCCCCAGGCCCGGTGCCGAGCTCTGGGGCCACGCAGCAGGAGGAGGCTGCCCCCGCGCCCCTGGCGGCCCGGCCCCCCGCCTCCCGCGCCTCCAGGATGTGGGACGCAGTGCTGTACCGCATGTCAGTGGCCCAATCCCAGAGCCACGCAGCAGCGCCGGGCGAGGGGACACGTGCCCCAACGGGCCTGCCCCGGCTGCCCTTCCTGTACCGGCCCCGCTTCAATGCCCGGAAGCTGCAGGAGGCGGCTGCACGGCCCCTGCCCACCTCCCTCACTGCCCTGGAGCTGAGCCCCCGGCCCAAGAACTTCAACCGGACTGCGGCCGGCTGGCGGCTCCAGTGAGGTGGCCAGAGGGCTCTGGGACACAGACTGAGGGCACAGAAAGAAGGGCTGAGCTGGCCACTGGGTGAAAAGTAGCAGGGGTGGGGGCGGGGGCGACGAGGAGGGGAGCTAAGGTTGGGTCGGTGGCCTGTGAGAGGTTGAGAGGGACAGGTCAGGTGGGTGGGGCATGAGGGATGAGGGGGAGGTGACAACAGGGCACAGAAGCGGATGTGGGACAAGTCAGGCAGCATGCAGGGGGGGGGGGCTGGTAGATTCAGTGGGGTGGAGGGTCCTTTCAGAAGGGGCCCGAGTGGTCGGTGCATGTGGGACAGAGTGGGGCACCGGGGCGGGTGAATGCTTGGCGACAAGAAGACCCCCAAAGTCTGCTGTGAAGCAGAGCACTGGGCTGCCCTCACAGGAGGGTGGCTGGGGGCATGCCCAGCCGGGCCTGGCTCTGGTGCTCTTCAGGGAGACCTGGGCCCTGGGTGCGTGGTGCAGGGGCAGAGCTTGGGATCTGGGGGCTACGGCACAGGCTGATTAACTCTTGGCTCGGCAGGAGGGGCTCCTGGGTCCAGACTGCAGTCCTCCCCGTCCCCCCCGCCCCGGCTGTGACCGTTTCGAGGACAGATTTATGTTCGCGGCGGGAAGCAGGAGGCGTCGGGCCATCCTGAGCTCAGCACGGTCGGCCGGTCGGCCATTTGGCGGCCCTGGCGGATGGCGGGGAGCCAGGTCCAGGCCGGGGGTGCAGGAAGGAGGCCCTGTGGAGGGGCTGGAGGCCCAGGCCCGCTGGGAGTTAGCACAGACGTGGAATGCTCTGAGTTCAGGCAGGAAAGGAGCCGATGGGAGGCAGAGGAGGGTCCCCACCGGTGCCCTGACCCAGCCCTTCAGCCCCCATCACTTCCCCTCTTGGGCTGGCCCCTAGGAGAGGCAGTGCTGCAGGGAAGCTTGCTGAGGGAGAGGTCTCAGGTGTCAGTGGTGGGGACGAGAGGGAGCGTCCTCAATCCTGTGGCCGAGCAGGACAGGGCAGGGGACCCCAAGACTCATGCCACATGGGGGCTCCAGCCTGACTCGAGTACAGTGCCCCGGGCTCCGAGGGGAGCCGTCAGCAGGAATAGAGAGGTGGCAGGGTGCACGGGAAGCAGTGGGACTGGGGGGTGGGAGCCGCACTTGGGTGGGCTGGGGGTCCCACACAGGCTACAGTGGTGCTACTTGTGCAGCCCAGGACCCCAGCCCCTAATAAAGTTGCGTCCGACCAAGGCTGAGGAGTCTCCTTCTGTCTCGTCACCAAGTGCTGCGGGGGGCGGTGGGACCCCAAGAGACTCTCCAAGGTCCAGCTCTCACAGACCCTCAGCCCACTGAGGGCTCGTCCCGTCCACATGCACTGGTTCTAGCCCCTGCAGCACCGGGCTGGCCTCATCCGGTCAGAAGCCAAGTCCTCCTTTAGGCTGGGCCGGGCTGAGCCTGGGCCACGTGAGCAAACCCACCGAGTCCAAGCCTGGTGCAAGGTCCAGGGAGCCGAGTCTGGGTCCCCAAGCCAGGCATTCACCCCAAACCTCCCCCCTCCCAGCACCCAGTAACGTGGAAAACTAGGCCCCACCTGAGCCGCCACGTGCTCAGACGGCACATCTCCCGGGTGGCACTGGGCTCTGGCCACTGCCTCGTACTCACTTGGCTGGAGGTCTAGGGTGCCGCGGCCTCGTCCACAGGCACCTTCTCATACTTGCCGTGCCCTGTGGCCACAAACTTGTACCGCTTCCCAGATGGGGTACTCTGTTGGAGAAAGAAGCAAGAGCAAAGGGGAACGCCTAGGTGGGAGGCAGTGCTGCCTCCAGGAAGCCCTCCCAGATACCTGGAGGACAACCTCTCCAGGCCCTCACCTGCTCTACCTGCCCCACCTCCGCCCCCACCACTCTGCAACCTCTACCTTAATGGTGGATGAGGTCTTGGAACCACCCTTCTGCTCCCAGAGGCTTCTCTTGCTCATGTCTCCAGCAACGATATCCTGGGAGCAGGAGGAAACAGACCACGGGTGTGACCTCTGCCAGAAGTCTAGAAGCTGGGGGTCCTCCCTCCTGGCCAGCCTGGCCTGGCTGGGGGCCTGCTGCCTGCCCACCTTGCCTCTCTGTGCAAGAGCCCAGGAGAGGAATGGGGAACCTGAATAAGGCATCACGCACAGTTCCCCTTCCCAATATGTCTTCTCACAGTCTCCAACTCTGGAAGCCCGTCTGGCCAACCCCAGCCCCCCAGATGTCCCAGTACCCTGCCCACCACATTTCATCCTGGAGGGTCTCACACTTCTCTTTTCCAAGGATGCCCAGCCTTCTGCTAAGGTCCCGGGCTCTGTCCTAACTCAACCATGCCCATGGGAGGGGCCCTACCTTGCAGGAGGGGCTCTTGGCTGCAGACTGGGCCTGCACCTCTCCCGACTCCCACAGGTTCTTGGTACTGGCCACGGCCATGCTGGGCAGCTCTATGGAGGGCTGGCGGGCTAGCTTGGGGGTCCGGCCAGCAGTCTGAGGGGAAGACAAAGCCCCAGGATGCTTTAGTGGAAGGCCACCATGGAACCTGTCAGAGGGCCCCACTGTGAGGCCTTCCTGGACCCTATCATTTTATTTACCCCAGGAGTGCTTTCCTACCCCAGGGCAGGGTCTCAACACGTGTCTTTGTTGGGCACACCTGTGGAACACGCCTTCTTCTAGGGTGCACAAGTGGTATGGTGGGTTGCAAGACAGATGTCTTCATGGGGCACATGGCATGGGGCCGAAAGAACATGGATGGGAGGGGAGCGTGGGTATGGAAGACTGTGGGTTGGTGGGATGTGGGTTAGTAAAGGAGCATTTGGGTCAGTAGGGAAGTACATGGGTTGATGGGGGTGTGTGTGGGTTAATGGAGGAGTACGTGGGTTGATGGCAGAGTGTGAACATTGAGGGGGCAGTACGTAGGTTGATGGAGGAGTGTGTGGATTGGTGGGGGAGTATATGGGTTTGTGCAGAAGTGTAGGCCAGTGGAGGAGTATGTGGGTTGATGGTGGAGTACATGGGTCAGTGGGGGAGTACATGGGTTGATGGAGGAGTACATGGGTTGGTGGGGAGTATGGGTTGGTGGGGGGCATGGGTCAGTGAGGGAGCATGGGTTGGTGGGGGAAGGTGGGTTGGTGGGGGAGTGTGGATCAATGGGGGAGCATGAGTCAATGGGGGAGCGTGGGTTGGTGGGGGAGTGTATGTGGGAGCATGTGAGTTATTGGGGCCACATGAGTTGGGTGGTGGCGGGTGGGTTAGTGGAGGTGTCAGGTTGGGGGGCAGAATGGTGCACGGATGGAGCAGGTCCCCATTGCAGAGAGACTGGTATACCTCGATGGCTTGCGTGTACTGTTCCAGACGCTCGTCAATCCTGGAGACGGGCAGCCCTGGCTCAGACTTCTTCACACTGTTACTGGAGGCAAGAGCATTGTCAAGCCCCACACCGTGCAGCTATTCTGCACCCCACCCTGAGTCTCTGCCAGACACACCCAGGCTCCGTATCTCCACCCTGTCAGTCCCTCCCCTCAGGCCCCTCATGGAGAAACCCCAGTTCCGAGCCTGGGTCTGCTAGGACCTACCTCTTCTGTATGGAGCGGTTCAAGGACTCAGTCCTGTCAATGAGCTGTGGAGAGTGGGCAAGAAGTTGAGCCTGGGGGGTCAGAGCCGCTCTCTAACTTCCAGGAGCATGCAGCGGACTCCTGTCTGTTTAGCAGGGTGGGACTGGCTTCTACACTGACCCCCCGATTCTGGAGACATCCAGCTCCAGAGAGAAGGCCATCTCCACCACCTTGAACTTCAGGGACGGGGCGCATCCATTATTTTAGCAGCTCAGTCTGTTTTGACAGAACTTTACCAAATAGCCATTTTGGCTTAATTTGAGCTATGATTTGCCTCCTGCTTATCTGTGCCCCTGAGCTAACCTCTGCCTTCTGCTCCCTGTTCCCAAAGTAACCTATCATGCCTCCATTCCTTACTTTTATTCATCCATTATTCCACCCAATCACCCTTTTGTCCATCCATCCATCCACCTACCTACTCTTCTTTCCTCCCTCCCTCCCTCCCTTCTACTCATCCATCTAAATATCCATGTACCATCCTTCCTTCTTCCTTTCATCCATCCATCCATCCATCCACCTACCCATCTGTCCATCCATTCATCCAAGCATCTATCCATCCATCCATTCATCCATCTGTCCACCAACCTACCCATCCATCCAGCCATCCATCCATCCATCCATCCATTCTTCCTTCCTCCCTCCCTCCCTTTCACCATCCTTCTGACTATCCATGCGCCCTTTCTTCCTTCCCTCCACCCACCCCACCCCACCCCACCCCCTTATTTCCTCCCTTCCAGCCTTTTATCTGTCACCCCAACCATGACCACAAGGATGGTCTGAGTGCTGGGCACTGGGGAAACAGCAGACAAAAGCTGGGCATGCCTCTGTGTTCCTGGAGCTGATACGTGGCTGACATGCAGCTAGGCTCTGGCATTTTCATTTTGGTCGTGTGCCCGGGAGAGGAAATGGGAGCAGGCTCTGGGGCTTGACCTACCTTGGTGGTGGGGCTCAGAGGAGGTGAGCCGTGTCCAGCAGCCCCCTCCAAGGCCAAGGGGCTGGGTGTCCTGGGCTGCTGACACTGCAGGGGATGGGGATAGAAAAGCTGACGTTATGGGGCCTGCGTGGCCAGCCATTCATATCCCTCCTGTCCCACCCCAGGGCCGGCTGGAGCACAGCTCTTCCCTGCCTGGGCCTCAGGTTCTTTCCAGCCCTGACATGCTCTGTTCTGGAATCCTCTGCTCTGGGGCCCAGGGCACAGCTTGTGAGCCTGAAGGCCAGACCGGCCCTGAGGGTCTCAAGGCATCAACACTCTGCACATGGGAGCCAGGGAGGGGCTGCAGAGCCTGATGGTGTGGGCCAACCCCACGAGACCCCTGAGGGGTGCAGGCAGCCAAGACCCACCCGGTCCAGGGTTCAAGTGCTCCCTGAGTGTCACCTGCTCCCCTGTCTCTCCCGCCTCTGCTGGCCCCAGGGGGTCCTGGGCTGGCTCCTCGGGGCTTTGACGCCCTGTTTCCTCTGGACCCAGACCCTCCTGGGGCTCCACCACTGGGCTCAGGCACAGCCCTTCCAGGGGGACTTTGGCTTGGTCTGTTCTGTGGCTGTCCTCCTGTTCCAGCCTGTGGGGCCTGTGGGAAGGAAGAGGGCATCAGAGCTGGTCGAGGGTCATTCCAGGGCTTCGTTTGAACCCCTGCCCATTTCCCAAACTTAGTTTGCCCATGTGGGAAACAGGGGAGTCAGACTAGAGGAGTGCCATGGTGTCTTAGGTGATGGAGGCTTGAGGGCCCCAGAGCCAGCCCCTCTGTGGCCTCTTGTGGTGCCCAGAGGGAGGTAGGACCCTTGTGGCCACTGGCCCACCACTTGTCCTGGCCATGGGTCTCCACTCCTGGAGCTCCTGGATAAGCCCCCTTCTTTGTTCTGCTCATCCCCATCCACCCTGTGGTGCCCACCCTCAGGTGGCTGGTCCCCTGGGGCCAGGGCGGCCTGTATGCCCTGCTCCAGCCCAGCTTGGTCTTAGGAAGGAGGAGGTCGAGTGTGAGGGAGGGGTGGAGCCTATGGGTGGCCCAGGGGGGCACAGCCAGGTAGGGGGTCATGGGGAGAGGTGGCGGACGGGGGGTGCCAGCCAGAGTTGGTGTGGCTGTCATCTGAGCAGGCCAGAACTTGGAGAAGATGGGTAACCCTGCCTTTTTTCATGCTTGGGCCTCTTGGTATGCGTGCAGACATGACCCGGACCCACGCACCCAAGGTGGACTGAGGCCCGAGCCAGGGAAGCCACATAGAGGACCATTCAGGGCTCAGGTGGGTGGGCAGGCAGCAGGTGATGGGGCTGGAGGGCTTCGGAGCCGCAGCACTGACTTCTCTCAGAAGAATCCAAGTGCCCCCTGCTGTCAAGGACCAGCCGCCCGTAGAGCAGGGAGTGGGGGAACCCCATAGCCAGTGGACAGCTCACCCTGCAGGCCCCAGCCCCTCTCAGATATACAGAGCAGGCACCAACTCCCTAGGGCAGATGGGGAAACTGAGGCCTGGAATGGGTGTGGTGAGCAGTGGGCAAGCCAGGACCAGCTGGCCTCCGGGGTGTGGGAGTCTGATTTGGGATGAGAAAGAGGAGGCTGGGAATAGGAGGTCTTAGCAGAACACAGTGCAGCCCAGGGGCCTAGGAGGGGCCAGAAGCCGGCTCAGAGAGGGGAGAACTTGAGGCAGTGAGGGCCCTGTCCCCCAGGGTTCAAGCTCTGAGGGAAGGGCTGGGGCCCGACAGGTGGCAGCCCCAAGGGCAGCCTGTGGGACACTGACAACAGCTTGGAGCCTGAGTTGTGGGGAGGGGAGAGAGACTTGGGGAGCAGCCTTGTCCCCGGACGCCCGCCCACCTTGGTTCAGACAGGCGCACATGCCTGCACATCTGGAAAGCTGCCTCCAAGGCCCACATCTGGAAATACCTGCCCCCCTCCTCCGTGGGAATGGAGGATGGCCAGACTCGAGGGAGGAAGGGGCGGGTGGTACGGGGGCCTGGAGCCTCCATTACGTAAGTGGGCTGCAGATGTGTGCTGACGTGGCAAGCCCGGCCCGGCCACAGCTGCTCTGGACTGGGCCCAGGGCCCCGGGGAGCCCAGGAATGAGATGGCCTCACCGACCCCTCCCCGCAGGCCCCTGGGCCTCCCTCCCGTCGCGCTCTCTTCCTCCCTGGCCCCTCCCCTCCTAGCCACGAGGGCATCTGAGGGGCCTTGTTGGGAAGGGGCAGTCAAGGAGCTGCTGCACTGGGGCTCGGCGGGGGGGCTTGGGGAGGGCCTGCACCACTTACGGGTCCTCCTCAACGGGCTCCTGCTCCTGGGGGCTTTCTCCCCGAGTGGTCTCGTCCTCAGCCAGCAGCCCCCGGGGCCCTGGCTTCTGGGACCAGTCACCAAAGCCCTCGTCCTCATCCAGTTCAGGGGCCTCTGAGGGTTTCAGGTTGACCCTAGGGGAGAGGAGCAAGAGCTTGGGGCTGGGACCCCTTACCACCACTCATACCTCCCTCCCACTCGGCCCCTGGGCTCTGGGGTAGGAGATCCTTGTGGCGAGGGCCAGGCCTCCTCCATCAGTCTGAGAATCACTGAGGGCAGGATTATGCCCCTCCCACTATCCTGGGGCTCCCTGAGAGCAGGTTTGAGCCTCCCCGTCAGTCTAGGGCTCCCTGAGCCGGGAGCTGAGCCTCTGCTATCAGTCTGGGCTCCCCGGTATGGACCCCAGATCAGCCCTGGGCTCGAGTGTCCACGTTCCCTGTGAACCCAGTGTCCTCACAGGCCAAGGCCCTGCACCCAGCCCCCCAGACTGCAGGCCTGGGCCCTTGTGGTGGAGGTGGTGGCTTGTCCTGGCCCATGTGGGCCCAGGGCTCCAATGGGCATGGGTTCCTGGCCTGCACCTGACCCCGCTCCTGTCCCCAGGACCTGGCCGACGAGCCGTAAGTGCTGCAACACCACACCCACCCGAGCTGCTGACCTGCTGACCCTGAAAAGCAGAGATGAAGCAGGACCCAGAGGAAGGGGAGTGGTGCTGGAGACACACCCAGCCCGCCATGGCCTCCCGGGCTGGGGAGGGAGTGAGGCGGCCAGGGTCCCGCCAAGACGGCCTCAGCCTCCGTGCGTCACGGTGCGGGCCTGGGCGGGGGGCTCTGTGGCCAGGGCCTAGTGCAGGGCAGCCAAGCCTGTGTCGTGTCCCCCACGGCTACACCCTCACCCTCCACACTTTGCCCTGCTCCTAGCAGGGCCTCTGGGCCTGCCTCCCCAGCATCCGCTCTGCCCAGGCCCCGCTGCGCAAAGTTGGGCCCCGGGCCGAGGTGCTCCAGGGCGGCAGCTTACAGCTTGTCCTGCTCCAGCTCCAGGGCCTGGCAACCACCGTCTCCATCCTCAGCCCGCAGTTGGCGGTCCCGTTCACGCCGACGCCTCTCGCGGGCTGCCTCCTCTTCGTCCTCCACGCTCCACTGAGCGGTGAGCCTGGGGGGATCCGAGAGAGCCGTCAGGGACAGCTGGAGAGGCTGCTCTGGACCTTGGTCTACCCATCTGTAAAATGGGACTCCTGCGAGGTGTGGGTAAAGGGCCCCAGGCTGGGGTGGAGGTCCTGGGGCCTTGGAGCCTGGATGGGCCTGGAAAGACCCCTGGATGGAGCTGGAGCCAGTGTGGCTTCCGCTGCAGGCAGTACCTGGGAGGGCACAGGGGGGGCCACTGGAGGGCAAGTGAGCACTCGGGGTCCCTAGTCTCTGTGGGGCTCCCCAAGAGTGGGCACATTCGAAGGGACTGGCCCCACTGCTGCTCGGCCCTGTGAGGGCCTGTGTGGGGCTGCCTGCCTAGCCAGGCAGGACTCTATGCCCCCAACCACACTCTTGCATCTGGTCTAGGCCTGACCCCAGAGCTGAGAGGTCCCACAGGGATGGGCACCGAACACTACCACTCTCATACCACCTCAAGGGTCACCATGGCCAAGTAAAAGCCAGCAAGGGGGCTTTCGCCTGCAGCACCCCAACACCTCCAGTTCCCTGAGTCCATTCACCATCGCAGCACAACCTGAGGGAAGCTCACGGGTCTGCCCAGACGGAGGGTCCGCAGCCCTGCCACCCTTGCCCTGTGGATCACCACGCCCAGTGGGGCCCACCACCCCAGAGCTGGGCCGGACGCAGGCCGGGGTCCTGGCTGGGGCCTAGCCCCTCCTGCGCGTGTCCGCCATGTGACCCTGGGTTGGCCACAGTGAGGCTGCGTGATGCTCTCTGGCAGCCCTCACCGCCAGCCCATGATCTAATCTCCCTCCCAGGTCTCCATAAGCCTCTCAGACAAAAGCCAGGCCCCTCCACAGGCCCTAGTTCAAGGCCCGCTCCCCCCGCAGGCCACATGGGATTCCAGCCACACAAACCAGACCGCTGCTCCGACCTTGCACCCCCACCGCTCACCACCAGGCCCCTCAGAAGTGCCTCGGGCTCCCACCCGCACAGGCCCTGAGGGAGCCACTAATTCCCCACACCTGGCCCCTGTCAGCTCGGCAGATGAAGCCAGCTTCCTGCCTTGGCTGCCCTTGGCGGGGGTGGAGCCCACAGCCCCTTGTACCTGGGGAGGTAGAGCCTGGGGTGTCCTTGCAGCTGTCAGCTGAGACCTGGGGCCTGGGGTCCCTCCCAGCCAACAGTCAGAGCACAATTGGGCAGGGGTGGTAGGATCTCAGGGCCTGGGCTATGGGGTGTAGGAAGGCACTCCATGGAGCCTGGGCCTGGAACAGTCCCCGGGGTGCCCCAGGAGCGAGTGCTCAGCAAGGGGCTAGATCTGCCGTTATGCATGGCCATTCCCATGGCTAAGTCTGCAGGTCTGCACGTGCACATGGATGTCAGTGTATGCATGTGTGTGTGCATGTGTGGATGGGGGTGCCGTGTGTGGATAGGGGTGCTGTGTGTGGATGGGGTGCCGTGTGTGGATGGGGGTGCCTGTGTGTGATGGGGGTGACTGTGTGTGGATGGGGGTGCTGTGTGTGGATGGGGGTGCCTGTGTGTGATGGGGTGCTGTGTGTAGATGAAGTGCTGTGTTTGGATGGGGGTGCTGCGTGTAGATTGGGTGCCTGTGTGTGGATGGGGGTTCTGTGTGTGGATGGGGGTGCTGGGAATGTTTTGGTTCACGTGTCTCCATGTGCCCCACTTGTGTGGGTGTGCCCCAGTGTGTGTGCACATGTTCTCTGGTTTGTGTGTGTCTTCAGGTGTGTGCCCTGGCGTGTGTGAGTAGGTCTGGGGTCTGGCCAGAGACCTGCTGTGGGACTTCTCACTGGATGAGCTGGACTTCCTGTGGTGGCCAGACCACCCTCTGGCCCAGCCACTCTCCACTGGTGCGGCTGAACACACCCAGGGGCCAGGGCACCCACGTTGATCCAGTTGCCCTCTACAGCCACTGTCCACAGATGACACATCCACAGACCACAAAAGACCCAGGCAGACCCATGAACATGGTCTCTGGCAGACACACAGCCCCACATGTGTGGTGGACGGCCTTCACTTACACACTGAGCACAGACAAAGACAGGCATGCCCGGCTCTCACCTACAAAGACACACACACGTGCCAACTCCTTTCGTGAATCCAACTCAGTTCCATGTGGGAACACACACACGGACGCACTTGATCTGACACCCCTAAAATCGCACACACACAGGGCTGACACCCCTACAACCACACACACACACGCACACACACTGGGCTGACACCCCTACAATCACACACACACACACAGGGCTGACACCCCTACAACCACACACACACATGCACACACACTGGGCCAACACCCCTACAATCACACACACACACGCACACACAGTGGGCTGACACCCCTACAATCACACACACACACACAGGATTGACACCCCTACAACCACACACACACAAGGCTGATACCCCTACAACCACACACACACACAGGGCTGACACCCCTACAACCACACATACACACACGCACACACTCTGGGCTGACACCCCTACAATCACACACACACAAGGCTGACACCCCTACAATCACACACACACAGGGTTGACACCCCTACAACCACACACACACACACACACTGAGCTGAGCTGACACCCCTACAATCACACACACACACAGGGCTGACACCCCTACAATCACACACGCACACACAAAGGCTGACACCCCAACAACCACACACACACACACACACAGGGCTGACACCCCTACAATCACACACACACATAAGGCTGACACCCCTACAATCACACACACACACACACACAGAGCTGACACCCCTACAATCACACACACGTAGGCCTATGCAGAGTTAGAGCCATGCACACAAACCACACTAGGGCATCTGTGCTAACACATGCACATGTACGCACACATGCACGTGGGCTGACACCCCTCAGACACCCCTACACCCCTGTGCTCGCGTGCACACCATGCTGACGTGGAGTCCGGGACATGGAACGGCGGGTCAGCCCCTGCGAGGACTCTCGGCCCGGCTGAACTGTTGACTGTTTTGTTCTTGTCGTCCCGACAACGCGGTACAGCCTGGCAGGAGGCCCGGTCCTACTTCCCACATTCTGAGCACATCACCTCCATGGGCTCAGAGGGCCACCTTCCTGCCCCCTCACTGGGCAGGGACCTGGGGCACTGTGCACAGGGGCTGTGGGCAGGGGTCTCCAGTGTTACCCCTGTAGCCCTGCCCCAGGGACAGTGAGGTGACGGGGCCCTTTCCTCTGCACCCCTCCTTCCCTCTGGCCCAGGATGTAAGTAGAGGGGCCCTGCAGGCCTCCTCTCCGTGACCTCACCACGCGGTTCCACAGCTGGGCTCCATTCTGGGAACTGGGAGGGGGGCGGCTCTCCTGGGGTGGGGTGGGGGCCCTAGCCTGGCCCCCTTGGCGCGCACAGAGTGTTGGGAGTGCGGTGGCGGCCTGGCGCGGCCTGCCTGCAGCTGCCTGGGGTTTGGTGTTCCTGCACAAACACAATTAGGCATTTCCTGTGTCTGCCTTGGCCACAGCCCAGGGGTCGGCTTGAGGCCCCGCAGAGTGGGCCATGTTCCCTCCGAGCCCCCCACCACGTGGCCTTGTCCCCCAAATGCACCGGCACATGCAGGCCTGTGATGGCCCAGGCCACTGCCGCTCCCCAGCTGGCAGGGTTCCCCCAGCTCAGGCTGCTTCTGCTGCCCCTGAGCAGGCCACGGCCCTGTCCTCTCCTTCCCACCTTCCTCCCCAGGCCTGGCCCCTCCCCACAGTCTCACTGAGGGTCTGAGGGTCTGAGGGTCCGAGGGTCGGCGTTGAGCTCTGTCTCCCAGCGTGGGCTCCGGAAAGGGCAGCAGGCCCGCTCTCCAGCGTCACCCTGCCCCCTGCAGCCCCCCACCTGAGGTCCCACACCTGGCCAGCAGTTGAGGACAGAGAGAGCTTGTCCTGAGTCCTGAGGAGAGCTCAGGGGCTCAGCTGGTGCTGAAGGCAAGATGTCAGGCCTGGCTACTCCAGGGACCCACCCGGCCAAGTGCTCCCAGGCTCCCCAGAGGAGCAGGGGCATGGGTCCCCTGGAACAACAAGGCCTCTGGTCCCCTCATTCCCACCCCCCGTGGGCTCCTGCACCATCAACCCAAGTGGATGCCCTAGGCTTTTGGTCACTTGAGGGACTGGGGAGGTGGGGCAGGAACCGAGTCACAGAACCGCCTTCCCAAGGCTGGCTTCTGGGCAGGTAGCAGAACACGGCACCCACCACCACACGTGTGAAGCAGGCCTGGGGAGAGGGCAGCAGTGGGCAAGCAGCGCCCACACCTCCCACTCAGGGGCACACATATGTGGCCACCATGCCAGGCCACTGAGGTTGTGCAAAGCTGGGTCCTGCCCCAGGCTGCCCAGGGAGGGTCTGAGGGCATGGTCCCTTGCCCAGGCAAGGCTTTGCTGTTGCATCCTCGAGGAGGCAGCTGGGGGGTGAGCCGGGAACACAGAGCCCCAAGTGAGCAGGTGGGTGAAGGTGGCGTGGGCAGGGCCAGGGTGTGGGGACAGGGAGTCACAGGTGCCAGGAAGCTGGAGGCCCCCAATGCAGGACTCCTGGTGCTGGGCTGGCCCCCCTCTACCAGCCTTCCCTCCTAGGAGCCCAGAGGACCTCTTGGGATGTGGCCTGAGCCCTGGGGGACTCTTGCCCTGAAGTCAAGAGCCATGGGTGAGGCAGGCACTACCCTCTGCCAGGGAAGGAGGTGGCCCTGCACTGGGCCAGGGAGGGATGGGGTATGTGTGGAGGCAGGAGGCCAGCTAGGCATGGGCTGGGGAGTCCCTGTGTCCCTAGGAAGGGCTCGGTCACCCCAGCCCAGGGCAAGGGCTGCACTGGAGGCCCCGTGCCAGAGGAGGGCATGGCCAGATGTGCCTTCCAGAAGGGGGTTGTGGCTGCAGGGTGGGCAGCAGGGGTGGGGGCCTGCCCAGGAGCCCTGATAGGGGAGACAGGGAAGGACTCAGGCTGGACAAGGGGCCCCAGAACCACCCCGTGTCTGTGGGCCCAGGAGAGGGGTCTGGGAGACATGAACTCATTTGGCTGTGCAGAGTGGGGGGGGCAGGAGGTCCCCCAAAGCGGGGTGGTGAAGGGGAGCCCCAGGAGAGTAGCCAGGGCAGGTGCCACTGTGGGGGCCAGGGGCCAAGGTGAGCGTGAGGCCAGAATGGTCAGGAACCAGGCCCCATGCCACCTGCTCCACACACCAGGCCCTTTCCTATGTCCCTTGGCCACAGTCGGGCCTGTCTGCTCCCCCTCCTGGGCAGGCCACCTGGGCCTGCCGCTACTTCCCTGTGGACAGCACCTGCGTCCAGGTGGGGGTGAGGCCTGGGGGCTGTAGGAGCCATGGCAGGTTCTACAGGGAGGTGGGATGGGGAGAAGGGGGCACAGCTGCCTAGGAGGGCAGAAGGGAGGTGGGGAGCTAGGGATGCCCCTCCCCAAATGGAGACCCTGGCCCAGCCCTGCACTCCACCTCCCCAGCCACGCCTCCTACGGGGGCTGCTGACCATTCAGATAACACTGAGGTCCTGTCTGTCCACACTGGTGCGAGGCGAGTCCACCAACCTGGGCTCCACACCCCGCCGGACCCCTGCTTGGCTTGAGGGCCTCCAGCATGTGGACCCTCAGCTTCCCCACTGTCACAATTTGCCACCAAGGCCTCACTGCGCAGAGAAAGTGGAGGGAGTGGGGGAAGGCTTGGCCAAGACCACACAGCACTCCCACGCCTGTGTCCCTCATGGCCTCTGGTGGGAAGCCCGCCTGGAGGAGGCGATGCTGGAGTGTGGACATGGGCTTTCCACACACCATGCAGAGGGTAAGACCCCTGAGGATGCAGCGGGGGGTGGTCTCCAATTTGGAGCCCAGGAGTCACGGCCCCATCCCGGAAGGGTGCCCAGTCCGGTTCAGGAGGACAGGTAGTAGAGTCACTGCCCCAGGTCTCCCACAGCTACTCCACATGCCCAGTGCCCGGATGTCTCCAGGACGGGGTGCCAGAGCCCAGGAGCGCCCCCTGCAGGGGCTAGTCCCATCAATGCAATATGTCTTTTGCAGGCCCTCCCCTCTCTGAACCCCCCACTCTGGGGCCCTGTGGGTGGAAACATGCTCCCTGAGGTGCAAAGTCTGAAGTGCCAGTCGCTGGGGACGGTCGCTGGGGACACACGCCACAGGCCTTCCCTGCCGGTCCTTACAGCCGCGGCTGGCTCCCTGCCCTTCAGGACCAGGAGTCCCCCAGGGAACCCTGCCACCCTCTTGTCTGCCCACAGGGAGATGGCACTTAAGGGCTCTTGTTTTTTTGGGGGGTCCAGCTGGCCCCACTGAAAACCCCCAAAGCCAATGAGCTTCCTTCCTTTCTGCCTTCTGCTTGGGCTCAGCAGCCATGCCGCCGTGAGGGCAGATGGAGCAAGGGCCAAACCCCCACGCTCTGCTCAGCCCTGCACCACTTGACATCACTTGGCACCACATGACCTCCCAGGTGGTCCCTCACTGCCATTGTCCCACATGCTCCGCCCCAGACGTGCCCTGCTTCACAGCTGAGGGCCTGGAGTCCGAGAGGTGAGATGCTGGGCACGAGGTCTTGCCACTGGGAGCTGGGGAGCCAGGCAGGCCAAAGCCACACCACTGCCACTGACCTCAGCCTCCTAATGCCTACTCACCCTGGTTCCTGACCCAGCTTCCCTCCTGCGACGGCGGGGAGGACCCGTGCCTGGCCTTCCTCCTTCCTCTCCCTTCATGCACTGTGTTCTAGGAAACGAGGTGGGCATCCCTCTCTCCTCAACATACCTATGAGTCTCAGAGAATGGCCAGAGAGCCATCCTGGCCCTACAGGGGGAGTCAAGGCCCACTCCCTAGCTGTTCTTGGGGCAGTTGGAAGGATGTCCTAGGGGGGGTCCCCCGCCGAGCCTTGAGGGGCACAAGGACACAGAGGGGGAGAAAGCAGTAGAGGCCCACTGGAGAGGGGAAGGCGGCAGACCTGTGTGCAGGAGTCTAGAAGACTTCAGGAGGAGGGGACCAAGAGCAGGGGACCGGGCACAGCCCTCTCCTCTCCCCATCCTCCCCAAGCGCTCGGTTTGCCTCATCGCCCCTGTCCCACCCTGGCAGAGGGCCAACATGCACGCCCAGCCACCCAATCTCAAATCTGCCCCCTTCCCAGCTGGGGCTGCTCTCTCAGACCTGCCCCTGTGGGAGGAGCAAGACCCCATCACTGACTCTGGGACAGGAAGGGGTCTGTCCTACGATGGCTGCTGCCCCTTGAGCCTCCATGGGATGCCCAGTGCCATGCAGGGCCCTTGGTATCCTAACCCCACCCTCACTGACAGGGGCAGGGTGCCAAGGGATCAGCCAGCATCCCAGAGGGGCTACCCAGCTTCTCAGCAAAGGACAGGGCTCTGTGCACGGAGCGGAACCACTAGTCACCCACGCCCTCTGCACACCACCCTGCAAAGGCACTCGGGCTGCCTCATAGACCACCCAGCCAGAGGCTCCTGGGCTAACCTGCAGACCACCCCCTCCAAGGTTTCTAGGCCGCCCCTCAGACCATGCCCCATAAAGGCACCCAGCTGCCCTGCAGAAGCTCCGATGCCACCCACCCGCCCGATGGGAAAGGGCCATGGTGGGGGCCCACTGCTCCCAATGCGAGGGCCACACAGACAGGCTACCCTCGGGGGGTCTTGACTCACTGGTGTTCTTCTCCTGGGAGCTTCTGCCACTCACGGCTTGGCCTCCCACAGGGAGAGCCTGCACAGTGGGGGCTCAGTCCCCAGGCTTCCTGCAGGTCTTCAAAAGCCAGGCCAGGGGTTGGCCACCTCTGTCGCCAGAGTGGTTCCGACCAATCCCAGGGTCCAAGGCCAGCCTGTCTCATCCCTCAAGCTAGTGTCCTACCTCTTAAGATGTGCTTCAGATTGTCATCTCTGTGGCCAGAGCCTCCAGGCCCAAGCAGCCAGCTCCGCTGCACCACTGCCCCCCATGTCGGAGGTCAGGACCTCACGGCCCCGGGCGCTCCTGGAACCAGATCCGTTGGGCCCGCTGCTTGGACATGGTGTCAGTGGGGCTTTCCGGTCTCCTCAAGCGGCTGCATGGGTCCCAGCAGAGTGCCACAGCCTCGGCCGGCCCGGGAGAGTCCCTGGGCGTCCCTGCATCTCCAGCGGGGCCCATCTCCTCACCGCTGCTCCTGCCCCACTGCTCTGACTTGCCTCCCCAGGGCATCACACGGAGTGTGGGGACGCCCACGGCACCTAGCCCCAGTCGTGCCTCCTGGCCCAGGCCTGCCTGCTCCTTGGCACCGACTGCAACCACAGTGCATGGCTCAGACAGGCCGGGCGGCCCTGGCAGGGTTCAGAGCACTCCCCAGTCAGGGCTGGGGCCAGGCCACTGCACGAGGCCGAGCCCTGGCACGGCTAGTGCTCTGCCACTTCCTTCCTGGCCAGTTGCACCTGGGCCCGCCTCAAGCCCCGAGGCCTGGCTCTGTCCATGGCCGCCAGGCTCAGAGCCGTGTTGAGTCAGAGTCTGCACACTGTCCCAACTTGCTGCCCTCCAGGGAGGGGCACAGCCAGGCCCTCGAGAACGTGGCACAAGGCCGCAGCGGACCTGCTGTCCAGCCGCCTCCCCGCAGGCCCTGACTCTGCCCTCCCGGAGCACCACCGCCTCCCCAAATGCGGCACAATTCCCCTGTGGATGACCGAGCCCACTGCCTGGGGCTGCTGCCGGGCTCTGTCTGCCAGGCTGACGGCCCACTGATACCCAGCCCCTTTCAGAATTGATCCTCCTGAGGTGCGAGGTGGGGGACTGCAGAACAGAGAACCTGGGGCTTTGCCACGGGGCCGGCCCAGGGCCTTCTCTTCCCAGAGCCCAGCCGCTAGTCCCGCAGATGCCGCTGCCCGCCGCAGGGGCCACAGCCAGGCACGCTGATGCTCATCACGCTTCACTGCATAAAGGCATAAAGGGAGGGGCCAGCTCCTGTGGGCGTGAGGGACCCACATGGACTTCTGGGTGCTCAGTGGCTGAAACTTGATCCTGCTCCCCTGACCTGGGGGACTGTAGGGAGAAGGAGGCTCAGCCAGGCCATGCCATTAAAGAACCACCGCCATCAGCACACTGAAACCCAGTGACCAACCCAGACGGGAAATCGAGGGTCTGGGGGGCCGTGTCACTCCCAAGGGCTCCCCACTAGCGAATGGTACGACCAGGGTCCTGAGAGTGGGGAGGGGAGTGGTCTCCCCAGCGATGGTCGCCGGAAAGGCCTTCACCAGCAAGCAGACTTGGGGGCTGAGGTACAGACGGCGAGCTCCCCTCCCTCTGCCCCTGCCTCTGTGCCCGTCCCCTTCCTTCCCCTGTGTCCCTGCCCTCCTCGGCCGGTGGCCTCACTTGGTCTGCCTGGTTTCTCCTCTGATCTCCCCTTCCCTCGCAGCCTTCCTGGTGATCAGGCGGTATTGACAGTGGCCGCCAGTTCCAGCCCTGCGTGCTAGCTGCCTCTGCAGGCCTCGAGTCCCTCATCTGCTAAATGGGCCCATCGCCCGCCCGGCCTCCCCTCTCCTCACCACACCTTTGCGGGTGCCACAGTCCCTCTTACTTCCCCTCTCCCCCTCCCACCCTCTTTGGGGTTCCCCCCCGCCCTTCTCCCCACTGTCTTTCTCTTCCCTCTTTTTTTTTGCCTTCCTCTCACAAACAGCAGGATCACGTCCCAGGGCAGAGCTCCTAGTTGACACCCAACTCCCTCCAGCCCACCAGGCCGGGCCTGGCCCCACCTCACGCCTGCACCCGGGTCTCACCTCCAGCTGCCCTGCCGTCTAGGGGGGCAGTGGGCCCTGCTCGGTGCTGCTCAGCACCCTCCCTCTTCCTCTCCGGGGGGTCACCCATGAGCATCTTCAACCCGGAGCCATACCTGCAGCCAGCCTCCCTCGGCCCTGAGCCCAGCTGGGTCCAGCCCTCGTGCCAACCTGTGCTGAGCCTCTCTGAGGTGGCCATGGTGTTACCAGGGGCTGTGGCACCTCTGGGCATCCCCAGGCCTGAGGAGCCATGGGTGATGTGCTCTAGGACATCGGCTGCCTCACCACTGGCCCATCTCCCCACTGGGCCCCAAGTCCCTGCCCAGAGGCTGGGGCCACGAGCCCATGTGCTCCTGCCTCCTTTGCAGACTCCCAGACAGGACCAGATCTGGACAGACCCCCACACACCTCAGCCTGCCCACTCATCCATGGCAGCCACGCCCCTGTGGGCCTGGGGTTTGGAGGCCTGGCTTCCCCAGCCCTAGGGACCAATCCTGCCTGCAGACTGCTGCCCTAGGAAGAAGAGGGCACGGAGCTTATCAGATGGCAGGGGGTGGGCATGCACCAGTCAGCCTGGGGCGGGTCAGGGGCCTCGAGCCGTGCACGTCTGTGTGCACGACTGTGAGTGCAGCCACGGGCATGTCACCTGTCACCTGTCACCTGCCCTGACAAACTGTGGTTCTTTAGAAGGTACCTGGTTGACTCTGCCCAGCCTCGCCCTGTGCTGAGCCTGGCCTTGCCCTGCCCCAGTGGCCACTCCCAGGGCCCAGTACAGGGTTTGGCAAGGAAACCAGTCACAGCAGGTAGACCTTGCGTGGCTCAGGCTCCCCTCCCCGCTCCCCTCCTGGGCCTCAGTTTCCCCGCTGGTTGCTAAGTGGAGCTGCTGAGCCGAGGGAATGGATCCAGCCATACCTCCCGCCATCCCCTGGAGGCCACCGACGGCCACCGTGGGGTCCCATGTGGGGCATGAGAGCTGCAGGAGGTGGCCCCTGGGCAGCGGCAGCACCTGAGCAGCCGGGAAGGACGGGGAGTCGAGAGGATGCCGTGACTCGGGTCCACCTTGTGAGTGGAGGCCAGGAAGGGCCAGAAAAGGGTCCAGCCCCAAACCAGCCTGCTCCTGACCTGGACAGCAGCCCTAGGCCAGGTGGAGCCTGGCGAGCCCTCTGTGGGTCGGCCCGACCCCAAATGATGGAGGTGCCACCCCTCCCCTAGTAGCAGCACCGTGTGCTGGGCTTGGGTGGACCGGGGCCATTCCTGTCCTCTGGAATCTCCCGGCCTGGCCACTAGGCCCCTTACTGCCGGAGGCAGATAGGCAGTGGGCTTGTCGACCTGGCAATGGAGCCCAGCCCACCTGGCTGGGGAGAAGCCAAAGAGGGCTTCATGCAGGAGGTGGCACTTCAGCTGGGCCTTAACCACCTGGAGAAGGAAGGGCCTCACAGGCAGCTTGCTGTTCTCCGGGGTGTCTGCGCCCACCAACCACTCTGAACTCTCACCAGGGGCTCTGGAGGTGGGCACCACGGGAGAAGAAACTGAGGCCAGTTGAGAGGGCGTGGCATGGGGCCCAGACCCCCAGAGGGGAGTGAGGGGCAGGGACTTGGAACAGCAGCCCGAGCTGTCACTCAACGCAGGGTGGGCCTGCTAAGAGCAAAGATGGCCAACAGGACTGGCAAACCCAGTGCATCTTCTGTCACCTAAGGAGGTGGCCAGGAAGGTGCCCAGGGCCAGCAGGACTCAGAGCCCAGCTTCCCAGTCCTTCAGGATCCCTGCATCTGGCAACAGCTATGGTGCCAAGCCCAGTGGAGACCCCTGGGTGGGAGCAGGCCACCTTGCAGAGTCGAGCGATGACCTGGGCACTAGTGTCACACACACAAACACACACACACGCGCGCGCACGCACACACACACACACACACGTGCACGCCCCTCACCCTGCCCGCTGCTCAGAGGCACAGAGCCTGGTGGGGCCAGGGCCAGGTGCTCGCACCCTCGTGCCGGTCAGGCCCAGGATCCACGGTGCCAGCCCTGCTGTGGGCACACTGCCCGCTTGCCTGGGCTGGGAGCAACCTACCTCAGGAGCGTCTCCAGGCCGTGTCTGCTTGGGCCTCTCCGCAGGAGCGCGGTGCTGCTCATGCTGCCTGCGGCCTGTGACCTCGCCTGACCCCAGCCCTGGGGACACCGTGCCTTCTTCAAAGGCTCCTGTCCAGCCGGCTTTCCGGGCCTGTGGCCTCCTCCCTCTCAGCGTCCCACTGGCTGACCGGCCTCTCCCGGTGACTCCTTTCTGCTCCTGTCCTGTTCTCTGTCCCTGTCCCTCTGTCTCTGAGCTGTCTCTCTGTTGGCTGTCTGACCCCCCTGGCTCCCTCCCTCCCTGTCTCCTGGCTGGCTGGCTGTCTCTGGGACCTGATGTCTGTCTGTCCCACCCTGTGCCCCGAGCTGTCCCCCGGGCGCCCGGTCCCTCTGTCCCTGGGTGCTGTGGGCTTTCCTGACTCTGTGGGGCTCCCTCTGCCCTCCCCTCGTGCAGGACGTGGAGCAGCTGCTTCCTTTTGTTCCTCAGCCCCCTCCTCCGCCCTCGGCTCTCCACCTCCTTCCCAGTCCGCTAAACTGTTAGCGGGACAGGCGCCCGGCTGCAGCGCGGGCTTCGAGGACCTGCTGCCGTGGCCCTCGAAGCTGTGGCCGGCCAGCGTCTCTCCTCTCTCCTCCCCTCCCTTTGCCTGCCTCTGCCTCCCCCTCAGGCTACCTGGGCGGCTCCTGCCTCTCCCTCCTCTGGCTCCCGCACCCGCCTGGCCCGGGCACTGGGCACCGGGTCCCCACGCTCCTCTCCAGCCTGTCTCCTCGGCCTCTCGCCCGCTCCCCTGGCCCTCCCCTTTTTCTCCCCTTCATCCGAGCTTTGGTCCAGCTCTGTCTGACCTGCCTCCTCTCCCCTCACCCACGCCAGGTCCTGGGACCTCTGCCCGCTCCTCTTCCTCCCACCCTTCTCTGCCCTCAGCTCCCAGCTCCACTCTCCCCTCCCTCTGGAGTCTCTGTCCCTATCTTCAACGCCCTCCCGTCCCCTCCCCCTCCCCCATCCCTGCCCCCCATCTCTCTCCCCTTCCTCCTCTGCCCCCCCTCCCCTCCCCTCTCCCGGTTCCCTTTGTTTATTCCCAGCCCTCTACTCCTGTTATCACCTCAAGGGGCGCCCCAGCAGTCCATTCTGGTCCCCAAGAGGGGAAGCTGCTACCCGCCTGGCCTCGCAGCCTTCCTGGGAGGTCCTGACAGTGGGACCCCAGGAGGAGAGATGCCCTAATACAGCCCCCCCCCCCCGTGTGGCAGCAGGGAGCTTGCTCCTGAGAAGGACCAGCGGGCACAAGGTTGGCGCCCATGCCCTGGTCAGCCCGGCCCCCCTCGCCTGGTCCCTGTTGGCCAAGGCCCAGGAAAACAGCCCAGCCCACTGCTTCTCTGGTTGGGCTGAGCCACCGTGACTCACTGGACAGCACTTGAGGCTAGTGGCTGGACTGGGAGGGACTGGACCCATTCACAAGAGTCTGATGCACCAACTCTGAGCTGAGCAGCCCCACATCTGGGAGCCCACCTGACTCACCATCATACACAGCGGCCCCAAGAGGCAGGCACCATGTACCCATGTCCCAAGCAGGGAAACTGAGGCTTGGGCAGCAGCCCTGGGGTCCCAGGTTATCCTGGGGAGACAGCTCAGCCCCCTTCCTTGCTCCGTCCCCATCCTTCTCACTTCCCCCGCATGCTGACTGCGTTGGCCGGGTAGTCAGGGCAAGTGAACACCCGGGGAACAGGCCAATGGAGAGGGTGAGGTTACAGCCAGCGGGCAAGCAGGGCCCACGGACATGAATTGCCATGCGAAGGACTGCATTGGGGGTGGGAGAGGGCAGTGCAGCAACTGTCGGAAAAGTCCACGTGTGGCCAGAGTCTGGTCAGTAGTGACTCAGGTGCCAAGCTGGCTGGTGGAAACCATGCAGGGCCGGTGCATCTGCCCAGATCCCCCTCCACTTGTGCATGCACACATGTGCGTGCACACACACACATGAGGCTGGCTCGGTGGCCAGTGTGGAGGGGACCCCACAGCATCTTGAATGCCCCATCACAACAGCACCAGCCCGGCCCAGGAGGCCTCTGAAATGCTGTGCCCGCAGCCATTACCAGCCTCCAGCCAGTGACATGGACCCAGATCGGGGAGAAGGAAAAGGGACCTGGGAGAAGGTACGGGCAGCAGGGCCAGGCCTCGGGGCGAGCAGGGCGTTCTGTAGGAGGCACAGGAAAGCACGCTGACGCTCCGTCTGTACCCTGCATGCTCCCACCCCCACTCCTGCTCCTGTTCCAGAGGCCCTGCACAGAGCGCCAGGAACGCACGGTGGCCAGGCCATAGTTTGGCTCAAAAAAAAAGATGCCTGTTTCCACAGGACGGAGGGCTGCTTTGGCATGGAGGGAGCTCCCTGTCACTGCAGAATTTCTAGTAGAACTACAAGGCTGTCTTTCAGAAATGCTGCAGGTGGCAAGAACAAGCCCTTAAACGCAGTGGCCAGAATGTGTGGTTTTACAGCTAGGGTATAGCCTATCAGGGATAGTAGGGCTGAGTGTTTTCTGTCAGCACTATTATTTCTTGTCTATTCATCCATCTATCCACTCACCCACCCATTAATCATCCATCATCCATCATCTATTCATCTATCCATCCATCCACCCATCCACCCATCCACCCACCCATCTGTCCATCCATCCACCCACCTGTCCATCCATCCACCCATCCATCCATCCACCCATCCACCCATCCATCCATCAATCCACCCACCCATCCACCCATCCATCCATCTATCCATCCATCCACTCATCTACCCACCTACCTGTCCATCTATCCATACATCCATCTACCCACCCATCAATCTACCCACCTATCCATCCATTCATCCACCTATCCATCCACCCACCATCTATCCATCTACCCACCCATTGATCCATCCATCCACCCATCCACCCACCCACCCACCCATCCATCTATCTAGCCATCCATCCACCCACCCATCGATCCACCCACCCACCCACCTATCCACCCACCCACCCATCCATCTATCTAGCCATCCATCCACCCACCCATCGATCCATCCATTCATCCATCCATCCATCCCTCAATCCACCTACCTGTCCCTCCATCTATACATGCATCTATCCATCCATCCATACATACATGCATACATA